TGCTCTTCAAACAAACTTCTTCAGCCATCGGAAAACTCCACTCATTTCTTTCTTCCTGCTGCTTAAGGTACAGCATTCCGATCGGCCTCCACGCCAACCTCTCGGAGGGTCTCCCGATCTGCGAGCAGCTCCAGAAGGGATCCTCGCTGGTAAACCACAAGGGGTATTTCCATGGAAAAATGGGCTTCCGGAAGGCTTTACGGAATGGGCAGCTGGATATGGCAGAGGTATGGTTCGGCAGCAAAATCCTCAAATGCACAGATCCATTTTGGAAATGCTTCATCCCATAAAGGGTTATGGGGGGAGCCAGAGCCTATCCCAGCAAGCAACAGGTGCAAGCCAGGGTTCACCCTGGACAAATCGCCAGTCCATCGCAGGACACATGCACACACGCGCACAGAAACACCAGGGCCAATTTTCCCAGAAGCTAGTTAAACTGGACTGTGGGAGGAGGCGAGCACACCCGACGGAAATGGACGTGAACGCAGGGAGAACATGCAAACTCCCCACAGACAGCACCCCAGGTCTGGATTTGAACTCGGGGGGCCCCAGTGCTGTGAGACAGTCAAGCGAACCACTGTGTCACTGTCCATACATATTTCTTCAAAACAAAATGTTTCTCGCAGAGCTTTTAAAAATGTAACCAGTACAAACTCCGGCCTTTTAGGAGGAATAAAGAGGGGAAGGACGATGCTTGTCATCTTATCCAAAGCTTTCTTGTTTGGAATGCGGTCTGTAGCCTGTACTTGATGAACAGCACTATGATTAATTTCCTTAACGGTTGCATAGGTGAAGATTTTTGTATCGGATATCAGATTTCATTTGATGTTGCAGTCTGGATAGAAGTGAGCTGCAACTTTGACTTATTTACTCATTTACCAAGAAATGTTCAACTCGGCTGTTTAACTGAAGCCTTTTTGGTTGAAGTCCTTCTTATCAAATGAGATCGCACTTAAATTTCAGTTTGGCTGTCGGACTGTTGACCTTAAATCCTCCCAGGAGTGCAGAAATTGGATCAGGTATATTTTTAATAGCTTGCTTCTGGTTTCATGCAATTAATATGTGTGGTATAGTGTTGCATAGATGAATGCTGGCGAGAGCATGCCAACAGTAATTAATGAGGTCGTTGATGTTATTTTAAGTCAAGCTACTTAACTGTATTAATTAGCGATTTTCCGCCAGCTTCCATTCCTGATCTAACAATAGGAAACGAAACTGCCCCCGGCACGCCGGCGTGATTCGTTACAGGTTTTTAGAAGATTTCTTTCAACGTGAAATGTCTGAGTGTGGAGAAACCTAACAAAAATGAGCAAAACGGTTTGACACATACCTCGTGCAATATGTGACCTAGCTTTAGAAATTTACCCACAGTGATTGGAGGTTTGAACTGCCTGCTAAGTGTTTCATTGAAGGGGTGAAAATGCTGTCGGCCTCAGCTGTTGAAATCAGATACAGTAATATATATATATACACACACAGACACACCAGTAAGTGTTTTTTTTTTTCCTTTTCGTGTTTGCTTGCTGGTTTCTCCAGGTGGAGCTGGAGCTCCGGGCTCAGGTCACCCTGTTCTGTGACCTGACTGGCCACCTGCCTCACCACATGGACGGGCACCAGCATGTCCACATCCTGCCAGGTAGGCGCTGCCAGCTGGGAGATGTGCCCCTGCTGCTCCTGCTGCAGCTCTCTCTCACTGCTGTGGGAGGAGCTGGATTCATGGGCCTTAAGGTTTCCAGGTGTGTCTGTGTGTGCCTTTTGGTGCTGAAGCCCATTTGGCTGAAGCACAAGGGCTCTACTCCAAGTCCTCTAAGGCAAGAATGTTTCCTTGGTCTCTTTAAATCAATGCCCAAAGACCTTTGGAGGAGCGTTAAACTCATCCAGCTAAGTGACTGATCAGCTGTGTTGATCAGTAAGAGCAGACATGGCATGAAAACACTGGGGGACGAGATGGATCAAGTGTGCGTTTCTGCTGCGTATTCATATTTATTATTATTATTATTATTATTATTATTAATTCCTTACACTTATATAGTGCTTTTCTGGATACTCCACTCAAAGCTCTTTACAGGTAATGCCCCACCTGGGTGATGCGCCAGTCCTCTCCCCACACACCAGCTCTCAGGGGGGAGGAGAGCAGAGTGATGGAGCCAGTTCAGAGAGGGGGGTTATTAGGAGGCCATGAGGGGTAAAGGCCAGGGGGAAATTTGGCAGGACGCTGGGGTGACACCCCTACTTGCTCACTAAGTCAGAGAGCTGGGGCCCAGTTGGAGTCTTTGCCCCTCCCTGAGCCGCAGGAAGGCGTACCGAAAGACTGTGACAGCGAGGAAGAGGGGTTAAGTTGCGTGTGAGTTGGAGGTTTCGGCGTATGCAGCGTAGCATTGACGATCATGGCTGGTTCTTTGCGCCCTGTCTCTGTCTGTCTCTCCAGGAGTGCGGGAGGTGTTCGCCTGCGTGATGTCCGACTGTCAGATCCGGTTCACTCGGGTCCCACTGGAGCCTGGCCTGCAAGCCTGCTCCTGGCTTCCTCTGCACCTCAGGGACTTCTACACCCAGGTGGAGCAGGATGCCCGGGAATCCGTCGGCGTCTTTCTGAAGCATGGCATCAGGTAGGGAGAGCCCACGGCAGATTCGGGCCTACACTGTGGAGGCTGAAGGCGATTTGAAAGGGGAACCACAGTCCCCAGGCCTGTTATTAAATCTAGGTAACAAAATGAACTGAAAAATCTGACAAATATCGAATGAAGCGGAAAGTCGTGACCTTTGTGAAAGTACCGTAAGTCACCATGGTGTCGCAAACCCGCATTTAAATTCCCATGAATTGCGACGTGATGCGGCCCTTCCTGCTCACTAGTCCCAGTAATGACTGATGTGATGTGATGTGCGAGCGAATAAGTACAGGTTGTGCAGCAGACGTTTCACTGCAGGAAGTTGCCAACGTGACCTGTAGGCAGAGTTGAAGTAGAATTTATCAGCAAACCTGTCTTGGAGTCGAAAGCGATATTTCTATTGGACTAAAAGAGAGGTATTCACAAGCCTCCTTGTTTACAGTGTGATAGGGACGCAACACATTACCAGGAGTTTTGTTGCCTCGTTCTGAATCGCAGAACAGGCAGCTGCGCATATCCGGAAATTCTGTCTATTTTGTGATGTAAATTGGAGGTTTTACAAATTACTGTGTACATTTTACTTTTACAGTGGTTTGAAATGCACTCATTAATGGTGATTGCCGTTTCTAACCCTGAAACATAAAAATAGCATTACAGTTCCACTTTAAAACACCCAGTTTACAAAGTTTTTTTTTAGAAAAAAAGGACATTTTGACTTGGATTGGAAGGAAAATATAGTTCCAAAATATCCCTAACAGCACAGGTTTCCCTGTGGAAACCTCCGGCAGATTGTGCTTCCAAGAAGGAACTTGGGGTTCAGTGACTGAATGCAGCTGTTGAGGTTTCTAAAAACAAGTGTCAAAACCCTGTTTCTGTAGCTCATGTCTTAACCATATTCACAAAGAATCCGTCCAGTTCCGGTATTTTGTGTCTGCAAAGATGTTGGGAACTGTCTTTATCATCATTTATGACAGATCATTCCAATGTTAAACGTTTGTCCATGTCCAGTCCCACTAGTGGGTGTAGAGTTAACGTAATAAATCGTTAATTCTTGTAAGATTATTCCTGGGCTTTTGATTTTGTTAAGATGCACAATAAATATACTCTGTGGCACATGACCGGAGGCTACAATTTGTCATACCCCGAAATGGGGTAATTGCATTCTGAGCACAGCAAATGGTAGAGCAATTGCTTAATGCTCAATGTGTATTCTGAAGCTTGCACAATCTGTTTAAAACCACAAGGGGAAGACTAGATTCATTTATATCTTTATGAAATAAATGACAGTGATTTTCCTCTGTGATCTTCAGTGACATTCCTTTAAACAGAGTTGAAAGATGACAGAAAGGAAACTTTGAGTTTAAAACTTCTTTAGATTTAGATTCTGCAAGGAATATCCCGAACAGTGACTTGTATGTAGGTATTAAACCTGATAGAGGCGGGAAAGTGCAACGATATTATTTTTTTTTAAATGTTGTTTCCTAAGGTGGCCTGATGTCTACATTGGCCTTACGACTATGGGCAGAAACATGTCAGTCGCCAGAATTAAAACGGCCATTTCCCATGCCCTGGAGACGCCACCTGCCAAAGAGAACGGAATGACGAGCCACCGGCCTGAGCTCGCACTGGTGTCCGGGGTCTCCGAGCGGGACCACGTCCTGACCATGGAGCTGATGGTCCACCCGGGCTATCCCAGCCTGCCCTTGGAAGGGGGCTGCGGGGAGGGGCCGGATGACTTCTCGCAATCCTCCGACCGCCAGCACGAGATGGAGACCCTGAAGGACCCCAGACTGCTGAAATTTTACAAGGAAACAAAAATCCAGCTTTGTGCTTTCAAAGACCTTTAAACAGCCCGGCACATAAATTCGTCCCTTTTGTGTTTCAGGGGGTCACTATAGTCGGATACTAACACTGCAGTGGAAATCACACAATATGGATGAGTATATAACATTATTTTTAGGTAGACACACATTCTAGTGTGTTGGTTATTGGAGACACAATGGAACACACCTCTTGTCCTCATTCCAGAGAAAGACTCTACCAGCATATTGGCCACTGAAGGGGGGCTTAAAATTATTTAGTTGTATCTCAAAAGAATGTACTTTTATTAATTTTAATTTGTGTGATGTGTAATGTTTACCTTCTTAAAATTATTCAGTGCTGATCTGCACAAATCAGTTATTTCAAAGCCGTGGTGATTTAGGTTGACAGATGTTAAAAGCACAGTTTTGTAAGACGGCTTTTGAAAAAACATGCAAAATATTAACGGGATAAAGTGCATAAACTTGAAATATATATGAACACTACACATCTTTAGAAGACTTATGAAAAACTGCTATTTTTAAAACAGAACTTCACTGATCACACATGAATTCTTTCTTGCAGATTCCTATTTTAAACCAAGTACTGTATTTACATTTCTGAAATGCCTGTTAAACTATGTTGAGTGTTTCATGTTGTAATTGTGCAATACAAAAGTGTTTTACACAAGATTAAAGCAAGACTGCATTAACATTGCTTAGTAGATCAGTTACCAGACGTGAGAAAGCACATTTATCCTGATGCTGAAGGATGTACTATAGCGACTTTGCTCACGTTGAGTTGAACCAAAATCTGTTTTTTTAATAAAGGCCATTTATAAGGAATTTGAATCTAAATTAATTGATTAGTTTCTGTACATATTTATACCATGATAGGTTTTTCTTATGAAGTGCTACAGGTAATATGAAACTATGTTTTAGGCTGTTGTAACTATATTAAACATGGCTAGCGACAGAATTTTTCTATTTGGAAGTGTCAGCCATTCATACACCGGATCCACAATTACAGGATATGTCCAAAAACTGTTAATCTGACTGGTCTATTCTGTGCAGACCTCTTGCAACTGGTTTGGAAACGTGTTTAGTAACAATCCTGCCATCCTGTTGCTCTGCAGTAATTTACTGGCCTGGTGTACAAAATGTGTTCATGGATTTCTGCCCTTGGTTGGAAAGTACAGGACTGCACACTATAATCTCCACTATAAAGAGCTCATTTACTTCCTTGTGGGTGGTGTTGCAGGAAGCAATTTCACATAGGCATTCTTACAGCAAGGCAGACACGACAGGACAGGACAGTACTCTTCCTTCTTACCAACATAGAACAGACAAAACCCACACTTCAGTCAAAACCAAGTTTAATAGTTTAATAGTGCAGCCCAGAAACAAGACCAGGTGCCTTACATCTACTCCTGTGTACTATCTGTAGTATGCTTCCCCTCTGTGGTAGTTCTATGTAATTATACACACCTGTAAAAGGATACCCGGACAGTTAGACCTGCCTCCATCCACAGGTTCAGTGCTTATATACCTTGTCCACCCCTGGAGAACCCCCCCATCAATACACCCTGGATTTGTGTAAATATCTTGAACTCGCTTTCCTTAAAAAAAAAAGAACAAAATGCCCTTTTCACAAATTCACTTCGTATTTGAGGTCTAGGTGAAATGAAAATACGTACAAAAGGAAGGGGGCAATTGTGAAATCCCGGGACATAAAACTAAAGATGAGACTGTCCTACGTATAAAAGGTGAAAACGAGTTACTCATCAACCCCACCTGTGAAACTGAATTTCTTACATGGTCCAAAATTTATTCCTCAGCAATACCGGGTACACACCATACAGGCACTCGATGTTTAAAACTTTTAGACCATGAATATAAAAGAGCCTTTGTTCTTAGTTTTATAGGATATTATTTTAAACTGCAATTACTGTATGTCACATGATTACAATTATGTTGAAGTATTAAATCATTGCAACACAAATGTAATGGCAATAAGGAATGTTCATCTTCAGACAAAAAAAAAATTAAACCGTCTAAGCCAGCACAGATTATTTTTGTTTGGGGGCTAAAAATATGCGACTGTAATTATACCTCATGACCTTAAGAGAAGATTTGGGAAAACCACCCCATCCATGGACATTTTCACTGATTTGCAAAGGATGACAGGAGGATAGATCCTGGCAGATCTAGATAAAAATAGTTTTCTCTGCAGTGAGGAGGCATTGTTTCAAGTTGCTAGGAAATAGATCCTTGAGAAAACAAAAGCTTCATTCTTGCTATTATTTATTGCCTTCTCGTTTCCTAAGTATGGCTGATGGTCTTTCTACTTCCCTCAACAAGACGCTATATTAGAGAGAGAAAGGGAGCTGGGAAGGAGACTCAAATCAGAAACTTAGCATGTCTTTGTTAAGTCAAGCCTTTGATCAGAATGTTTATTAAACCAATGGTAAGAAACCAAGACCTTAGTGCCAAAACCAGAAACAACAGTGAACGGTTAGCCTACTTTATTATCAAATATTGGGCCAAATTACAGATGACACTTAATTTACAGTTCCTCTTCCAAATTCAGCAAAATTAAGTTTAACACCCCTTTGTCCCTTGTTCACTTCTTGATCATCGAACTGCTGTCGCTGTATTGACTGCTGTGTGCCGGGCTGGTCAGAACCCATGCTCCGTTGAGCTTTACAAAAGAGAGGACCGAGTCAGACAGCTCTGGTAATGGCTGGCATGCTGGGGGTTCCCCCTCCCCCCATTGTACAGGTAAAAACAAAAATGGTCGCCATCATAAACACAGTCCCGAGAAAGCAAGTTCCCACCTAAAAAAGCTGACGGACAAAAAGATGTAAGAAAGCAGCATATTAGACTCATTAAAGGGGCCAATGCAAAAGTTCAATACTTCACTGTGTATTCCTATTTAAATAAATATAAGTGAAGTACAATCTAAAAGAAAAAATGCTTAACCATTAAACACATACAACTACAATGCTTAGTCCAGACACAGCTGATTATTGACAAGGAGTTAAGATACTTTAAGATCTAAGATGCACACTAGCTAATGTAATTTTTGGAGGAGGCAAAATACGAAGCAAACATTTCTACCGATATTTAGATCAATTATTTTTAGAATTAAAAATATATATTACCTAGTCTTAGGAATTTATTCTGTAAATCTACATCTCATGGGCTTGCATTTAAGGGTAGTATCTGTTCACTTTATTTTCCAATTTAAGAAATTCTCCAATAACGTTTTTTGAATGTTAAAGTATGCAGTTGGTTTTTTTTTTGTGTGTGTGTTGTTACTGCCCCGTCACTTAAAAAGTTTCGGATAACCTTACCATGACCATGTTTAATGGCAAGCTGTGAAATACCAAATTGGCCGGCACTACTAAGGATACAGTTACAATTGTGAGAGAAGAACCATGTATTGAAGTGCACAGAAACCTTATTAAAATTCTGTTCGATCCCACATTTTTTCTTTTGTTATTTTTGACACATTGGAATTGATGACAAAATTGATACTAGGCTGCAGATCCAATTATCCGGCATATTACAAACTGAAAGTAAGGATAAGTTAGAAGGCTAGTTCCACAGATCAAGTGCAACTTTAGAAGCAAATATAAAAAGAAATATGAAACATTTCTCACACACCTCCAGGACTTTTGCTGTTTTTTTTTTACTAAGACATGTTGTTTTGGGGAGGGATATAACACAGAAGATGGGACAGTGAAGAAAAACAAGATTAACATAACTCCCACAAGTTTGGTTTCCTGAAGGGCTTAATATCTGGCTTTGTTACCATTAGTCAAAAAAATGTCTGCGACACATATGCATACGCTACTGAAGCAGTGATTTTTTTTAAACAAGGAAAGCAGAACTAAAACTTTTTTGTAATCCCCATCTTTACAGGTTATTTTCTAACCAGGTTTTTTTTTTGCCTTTTTTGATTTTAAGAAAACAGTAGAAAGTTAGTAACAGCCACAAGCTGACACCAAAGGGTGCCACTTGTGCGCGATCCACAGAGAGTCCTGCTTCGAGATTGAGGTGCGACTGAAATGCACTGCTCCAGGTTTGCTAGAATGACGTGTGTGTGAGGGGGGGGCAGGGGGTGGAGTGGGGGGGGATCACACTGTCAAGTATTAGTCCACTGGTCGCTTTTCACCATGTTTCTTTGTAAACTCTTCTGCATTCTTAAAGAATTTTTTACGGTCCTTTGAGTACTCTTCTGCTAGGTCAGCCCTCAGAGGGTGTTCTGGCTGGGGGTCATTCACCAGGGCGATGAGGGATTGGATAACTATGTCAGAAAAAAAAAATCATAAGTGTTAGAATATGCAACACAGTGCCAACAGAAAAGGACTCCGCAATAAAAAAAAAACACAATCCTGCCCGTTTCGGTCCTGATTTTCTGAGGGCACACCAGCCTAGCAAATCTTCCGTGAAAGTAAACGAAAAATATATGCTTGCTGTAACAAATCGTACAATTAATCCTTCAAAAATTGGAGTTTACAATTTTAAAAAAACAAAACAACCTTTAGTACAAACCTGCAATTTCAGTCTTTAAAACGATTTGAACTTTGATCCCCATGTTTGACGGCGCCCCACAGTAACTGTGCACACTTACCTTGGTCAGTTTTGGTAGCCGGCTTCCAGTTCTCTGCACTAATGACTGGCAGACACACCTGGCCCTTCTCATCGATATTGGGGTGGTAGATCTTTGTCTTAAAAGTGATCTTGGGGGGCTTAAAAGGATACTCAGCAGGAAAGATGATTTCGATCCTGAACGCTCCTTTGTCGTATGGAGGGTTGTCCTTCAGAAAGACACAGGCACACAGGGCAAAAAAAGGTCAAGCACCAGGCAACACAGGTTATAACAACGCATGAGGGCGTTGTTGAAGTGTTTTCCATCAATGACGGATTCCTTCTGGAACCTCTCATTTATATATACACATGTGCCATTCAGCTTAGAACTACAACAAAAAACCTACAGAAGGCTCCACGGCCAAAACGTTGCATTTTCTTTCTTCTCTTTTCAGCATGGAATTAACCTATTGCTTGTTCCTTTACAACAGAAAACGATCTAATTAATTCTGGAGCTGAAAATTGTTATTATCCACTTGGTTTAATGGCCATTTTCCTTTCTGCCCGTGAGGAGAACCCAGAGTTGGGAAAGCATTTCCTTTGATATTCCCACCTGTCGGAGCACAAGCTCCACATTGCCTGACAGTGAGAGCTGCGCATCCCAACCACAGAGTTCCATGCAAGTGCCTTTACAGGTTGAGCCACTCAAGATATTTTTAAGGAACTAGAAACTGGAAACAGTGTTCCCCGCCCCCACCCAGAGCATATCCATTCCTGCATCACTGCCCAATTTCCTCATGGACCTATACAATGTGAAATCCAATGACTTAATATTATTGTTGTTAATATAAATTAACTACTTGATGCTACATTTCACGCTTGTTTCCACTGCAAATGAATTGGGATTCTTTGCATACGCAACCAAGCAGTTGTGCGTGATGAAATGTGGACAACCGCAAAAGCAGCTCAACCTCAGCTCTTATTGTGTGCGGGAACAGTACTGTGGAAGGACTAGGTCAAAAGCAGGCATGTGTGATCTATGAAGAACGAACAATTTAATAATGTGACTTCCATTTTCTGCGAACAAATGCTAACAGAAAAGACCTTCATTGCATGCATCACATTTTTTCTTTCCTTTTTTGGCATGGCGTCATTGTACAGAGCTGGCAGTGATTACTTCCTGGCAGCAGGCAACATACCAAAACACAGGCGAAAACAAAACACCAAAACTGGCCATTGCAATGGGGCATGGGCATTTAGGAATATTTTAGAAAAGGGTTACTAGCTTCAAATAAAAAATGCCGGGCACACTAGTTTTCAGTGCCTTTTATGGAACAAAATTGGGAGGACAAAGGGGATGAGCTCAGACATCTGACTCCGATTGTTTACAAGCTTTTGCTTTGGAAAACTAATTGATACCTCTTGGTTAAGAAACTGAAAAGTGAAAAGAAAGAAAACCAACAACACTGAAACAACAGCCTGTACAATGAAGTCTGATTGCCTCACACTACTGAGAAAATGGTAGCAGTTGAACCCTGAGCATCGTAAGGGGCAGACAGCACTTGGCAACTGCTCTGTCCTTAAATTCCCCTGTTATCTACTTGAACATTTCTAAAGTGACTGAATACTTACAGGAACAATAAGGCCTTGCCAGGTCAATATGTTTGAGTCATCAACTTGGATGTTACGGAAATTTTTCATTCCAGATTTGCGGATTTCATCAAGCTCCTTAAAAAGAAAACAAGAAAACAACTGATCAGCTACTGAAGACACACTTGTTTTATTGCAATTCTTCCACATGAAGCGATGCAGCACCCCCTGTTTCAAGTTATTCATCCTCATCTGATTCTTTTTCCAGTGGTTTTGGTAACAGACAATTTCCCCTTAACTACAGGCAGAAAGCACAAGATAAAAAAAAATCAAATCTGCAGATCAGAGGAGGGTATTTGGTGAATCATACCTGTACGGGTTTAAGCAGCTAATTGATCTCATACAAGCTGGAATTAAAGACAAACAACGAAATAACACAAACACCTTTTCTGATCAAGGAATCTCTTTCATCGTTTTTTTTCAGAACCTGATTACTACTACAAACAGTAATTGTATCTGATTCTAACATTTCTAAGAAGAAATGGGTCACAAAGCTGGACCCATGAAACAGCGATCTGTGTCACGTTAAGGTGTGAATGGTAAATTCCAAAGGCAAGCTCACATTTTAATATCTCTATTCCACCAGAATGCCAATGAGCCTGTGATGACATTGCAAAGCTAATTCTGTATATGAGCATAAAAAGTGCTAACCAAAGCCATTGTTTTATAAGCAAAAGATTACATATGGGGGGTACCAAGAGTCAAACCAGATCTGCTTGGACCTCAACGAAGACCTGTACCTCTAAGACATGTTTCAGACAGTGTGGCTCAGTTAACACGTGTACGAATCACACTGCCAGCCATGGAAAACAGCATGGAGGATCCCTGAGGATGTTCTGGACTTTCTGAACCTACTTCCTGACTCTAATGACAGACACCTGAAACCAGCCGCACAGATCAAAATGAACCATCATGATGCGAAGGCCTCTCAGTACCTCTCAGGCAAAGACACCAGACGCTGCTAAGCAGAAAAAGAATCCCCCCTAGTTTGACACAGGACAATCTGCTCAGCTAAACACACAAACGTCCTACACATGCAGATCCCCCTCCTTCCTTTCATCAATTTTCCAACATGCACATATACTCTAAGGGGAGACTAAGTTTGATTTAATGTTGTTACTGCACCAGTGCTCTAGAGAGAGCTGCTGTAGATGCTGAGCACGTCGAGGCACACTTTTCTTACATAAATTCACTTTGAAAGATTTTGCAGATTTTTCTCGACCATTTTTTAAAAATTATTTGCACTGATCTCCCCGCGTCCGTTGCACTGATCTTCCAAGAACAGATTTAAAGAAACCCGAGAGCCTGTTGCTCCGCACCGAACTGACACCACGCTTGGGTTCCGCAAGACTCGCGATTCTGCGGCCAAAAATACAGCGATAACAGACACAGCCGTTCACACCAGCTTCGCCACTTTCGGTTTTGTTTCTGGTGTCGAGCAGGAAGGACTTTACGGGGGGGGGGGATTCCTATTAAGTAGAAAGTAAATATGACAATTGTCGGATACGCAGGCTGGAAGAAGGGAGGTTGAAAGCACAATACAGTATCTCGTACCTCCCTACTGTAAAGTTACCGTGCCAGGCTTCCTCAAAACTGTTGGGGGAAAAAAACCGTCACCCTTAGTCGCTGGGTGAACTCGTTGCGACGTGAAAAAAAAAACACCCTTAGAGAAATAGCTTAGTTCACAGCTCGACTTCCGAGCTCTATTTGCATTTTAAGGAAGGGCAGCAGTTCCGTCCCGGTAACGACGTAACCGGTGACACAAGCGCCCCCCCGAAAAAACATATATCGCTTTCAAAATACATAATATAACTAGTGATCGGGTAAAAAAAAAAAAAAACGACCGACCGATTTATGTTGTCATAGCCATCGGCAGTCCGATAACAGTGTCAAGATGACTTATACGAATTATGTAAACTATGACGTATCGATACCTACAGCCCCGGATTTTCTGGGTTTTAATTTCGCCTCAACAACCGGGTCGTTAACACGGTGAAAAAGTCGAAACCGGCCGGTTTTAAAACAGTTTTCAACTCGAACCGCTGCGGTTCGGAGTTCAAGTAATAATCCCACAATGATTCAGACAATAAGACTGCACTTCCTGTGTGTCAGAAAGTAACCCAAGCGTCCTTTCTGTGTATTCAACATTTCAAGGCGGCCGTCTACCTCAAAAGAATCAAAGCAAACTTATTTTAAAGGGGCGCCCGGGGTTCACAAGACGCTCATGAACGTGTATCATTAACTAACAGACACTTTCCGAGCTTCGATATGGAGGAAAATGAGTTGCTTAATCCGCAAAAACCGCTCTCTTCATCTCCGGCCTAATAATGCCGGTGGTTCCTCACTCGCTGTCAGACAATATATTTAGCCACTCGTTCACCACAGCAACACCACCATCTTAAAAACGGAGACATATTGTCCTCGAATTGTGTTTAGGAAGATCCACATCGATAAAATGTTAGGTATTACCGATCGTAGCGATCGAATCCCGGCCTATTTTTTTTATTTTACTAACAAAAATAAAATAGATCAGGAGACTTACCTTGTGCAGCCTCCTGCTCGCCGCCATCTTGGATCTACTGACTACTCCCAGAATACACGGCGGCGGCAGGGCGGCTAAAGCTATTGCACTTCCTGCACTGCTATTAAACGCATATGCCAGTTTGGTAAAGACACGAGATACGGACTCTTATTGATCTAAATGCTGTCACAGTCCTACGCCGCTGGTATTTGGCGCAGTGGTTGGCATTTCTGCCTTGTCGCATGGGGGCCCTGGGTTCAATACTGGACCAGGGGTGCGGTCTGTGTGGAGTTTGCATGTTCTCTCCGCGTTCCTTCAAGGAAAATTGGGCTTCGGTGAGAGCGTGTGAGTGTCTGTGTTTGTGTCTGTGTGTCTGGCCTGCAATGGACTGGTGTCCTCTCCAGGCAGTGTTCTGCCTTGAGCCCGTTGCTTGCTGGGATAGGCTTCGGGTCCTCCACAACCTTTGATGGGCTGAATGGCCTCCTTTTATTTGTAACTTTTTTATGTGACAAATCAACATTAGTAGGTTGTGGACTATAATTCTCATAGCAACACATGCAAAGATAAGCCTACCTGAAAGTTAAGCGGCTAACAGCAGCTATATTTTTTAATGTAGCAACTTGTCTGGGGTGTGATAACCAGCCCCAGTTGATATATTCCAGTTTGTTTTCCAATTGGCAATGCACCTTGCGTGTTTGCCATAATGTGATAATCACATAATAAAGGCAGAAATGCCCAGCACTGCGCCAATACAAGCAGCATAGGACTGTGATATCACTTAGATCAACAAGAGTCCGTACCTCACGTCTTAACAAATCCTTTGGCCAGCAGAGGAATCCTACTCCGTTGGGCTCCTGAGCAAGGCCCTTAACCCCAGCTGCTCCAGGGGTGCTGTATAAATGGCTGACCCTGCGCTCTGACCCCCAGTTTCTCTCTCCCTGTCTGTGTGTCTCATGGAGAACAAGCTGGGGTCTGCGAAAAGACACATTCCTAATACAAGAAATTGTATATGGCCAATAAAGTGATCGTATCTTATAAAGTGATCTTATCTAATCCCCCTGTCCAGAAGAAGTCTAAGTCCTGGTCACATTTTGTGTGAAGTTTCAGATTTGTACTTTCATTGGTTTCAAAGGAAAAGAAGATTTCTAAAAAAATTGTCGAAACTAAATGCTGGAACTATTTGACCTCATAGTGTAGACCGATCAGCTTTCTGTTCACATTGGCTGCAGATCCATGTGAGTGCTGTGAAGCTGTGACCTTCTGTGAGTCTGACTCATTGTATTATAAATCCACAACCAACACATCAACCCACAAGGCCCAGATCAAACGGCTAGTGAGCTCTTAGCTCTTTCCCAGCTGCATGGGAAAATGGAGACTTTCATGAAGAATGAAATACTTGTTTTTGATTTGTTTTCATTGTTCATTTTTACGGGTGCCACAGCGGTTAGCTCTCCTGCAACGCAGTGCTTGGACCCCGAGTTCAATTCCTGGGGTGCTGTCTGTGTGGAGTTTGCATGTTCTCCCAGAGCTTGCATAGGTTTCCTCCAGTTGTTTCAGTTTCCTCCCTCAGCCTAGACCTATTGGTAAGTTAGCTGGCTTCTGGAAAATGAAATGGTAGAAGAGGTTAGAAAATGGATGGATGGATATTCATTTCATTTCCAAATTGTAGATTCTCACTTCTCAGCTTGAACTGCTGTGTAGCGGACAACCTGTGTAAAAGGGTGACAATGTCTCACCTAGATGGGTACTTCAGTGCACTGGTGAATGATATGGGTCTTCCTCTATATTTGAAGCGCTTTAGCATCCTGTTGGGTGAAACGTGCCTGACAAATGAAATCAATTGTGATTTACAGTTTTGTGGATGAACATACTGCAGGCCCCTGGGGAAGCTGTCTTTTTAACAATCTCCACTAGAGGTCGCACAGTCCCAAGCTTGCAAATAATGCTTTGCAGAAGAGCTTGTAACCACCTCATAATGATTGATGTGGTGTGTAGAATATTGTAACAGGCACTTTTCAGTTATACAGGCGAACATATATAGATATATATAGATAAAAATCACTGCATTGCCACATGCTCATGAACAGTAAACAAGTAACAGTATTTAGAGCAAAAAGTCAACACAACTGATCATGTTTCTGTTTTATTCTGTTTTTCCACATGATTTGGAACATGGCACTGTTTTGCAGCTCAAAATGTAGGGTCCGTGGCTCCTGTACCATAAACGTTTCTATCCAATAATCCCATTTATACAATTACTGTAAATGAAATGAGGACATTTATAAAGACTGCCAGCAACAGTGGATCTTAACCTTTGATGCCTGCACCCATTAAGGGTGTGAGAAGCCCCTTCTGGGGGTTCCCCACTTTTTTTGAAGGCGAATCGTTGAAAAAACACTAACTAAGCACAGACATGTGCTGTAAGTCTAGCTACTTTGTTTCATCAAACCTAAACGTTTTAAGGTAAACTGAAAAGAACTGTAATTTTTCATGCAATCTTACTTTTACTGCAAAATTCAAATACATATATAATTCTATCTCTTTCATTCTGTAGTTCTGATCAATCTTAGGTTTTAAGAACTGAACTGCTTCAACTTTTTTCATCAGGGGTCTGACAACAGATTTTGAGAACCTAAGAGGAGAAGCTGCAATGAAGTTTTAGAACCACTGGCCTAGAGAGCAACAAATTATTAGTGCAACCTCAGTCATTTACCTATTTGAAAGAATACTTACCAGAATGCCTCACCTGGGTATTGAATCTAAACCATCATATTATCATACCACATGTTGCTACTCCACCTTTATACTACAGTATATAACAGTAACAGTACTACTATATCCAGTATTCCACATTAATGTCTGAAGCTAGATGATCATAATAATAATAATAAACTTTATTTTATACAGCGCCTTTAAAGGTGGCTTCTCAAAGCGCTTTACAGGATGACAAGTTGACCTCCTCTCATCTGTAATTGTTTTTATGTTATGTGATGATGATGCTCATTTTAATAACTTACAATTTTACAAGAGGGCAGCACTGTGGGACAGTGGTCAGCATTGGTGCCTTACAGCAATGCAGCCCTGGATACAATTCTGGATTTGGCGTGCGGTCTGTGTGGAGTTTGTATGTTCTTCCCTGTGAGGTGGGTTTCCTCCAGGTGCTCCCACAGTCCACATCTTGGAAGAGTGATCTCTTCTAAATTCAAGGCAGAGAGGATGTTTGCTGAGGTCTGGGGAGTCACTTTAGCAGAAACCATTGTAAAGTTTACCTTAGTATACCTGGGGAAGTTGTGGATTAATGATTAATGATTATCAGGGAGCAGTACAGACACACACAAGAAAAGATCACATTAAGAGCACAAGAAGGAGAAGAGGGAAGAAGAACAAGACACTGCAACAAGGAGAAGAGAGAGGAGTCCAGAGAAGTTTGGACTTGAAGCTTGAGCCCCCACTTCATGATCATCCTAACCAAACCTGACTGGAGCCGAGTATTCGAACCCGGTTAGAGAGAGCCTGCTATTCTGTGTTTTTAGGGAACCTGGGTTTCCTGGGAAAAAGATACCTAAGTTAGAAACATCTTTCCTGCTTAGGGGACATTTTTATGGATAGGGATATAGGCTCCCATTTATTTTGTGGCATCCGGGGTACAGAGAGAGAGATTTCACTGCAGGTTGCTTTGTATTTCGTTAGAGGGCAGCTCATCTCTTGTGTGGCCTCTGTAGGCATTAAGAGTTTCACGCTTAGTAGCGGTCTGGGGTTTTCTGGGCAACCAGAATGTTAGGCCACTGAAACGCCTTGTTTGTAAATACTGTACATAGAGTAACTTGGGTGTTGTATGTTTTGTTGTGTGTAATGTAGTTTGTGTCTTGTGTCATTGTAATAAATATTTGTTTAACTTAGTGTGCCTGGATTATTACTCCTCTCAACAAACCTGTGCCAGAGAATAAAGAATTCACGCACCTCCGATTATACCAACTGCTCAGGTATATTTCTAGAAATTACTTTCAAGTTGGGGTTATGAATAATTATTTCACTTATTGACTAAACTGCTCGATCAATTCCTGATTTGCACCAGTTTCGTAACCCCCCAATTGATAACAAGAATATTTTCTTTTCATTGTTTCTGCTTTCACAGTAAATTAATATAATTACAAGTTTACGGGAGGAAGGACTCTAACATAGCATGTGAGAGGACATTAATAAAAGGTGCGAATTCTCTCACATTGGTATACCCTTTCACTGTTTTTAAGTTTAATTGATTTTTGCAAACAATTGTAGTGTCAAACAAATGACAAAGTTCAGGTGTCTGTGAAGCAGAAGTCCCTTTATTCATATGGATATGGAAGTCTGGCTTGCAATCACCAGACTTAACAAATAAGTAGCTGAAGATGGTCCTTTATACCTTAAAACACAAAGAGTTACTATGACATATTCTAAAGAAATGATAAAACAGTAACACCTGCCAATTAATTATATCTAAGTTGCAGACTAGACAGCAGTTAGTTCTTTTCATATTCTGGGCATACAGCCAGCTTACCAAATACATGCCCCTTATCTTACTGACCAAGGACAGGCAGCATCTTTATATATATTTGAGCCCAAAGCCTACGTCAAGCCACTAGACTGCATAGAAACAAGAAATGATATTGTTATTTCACTTCCCGGGCATCTCTCTTATCTTCTTCAGTCCCTCCTTAGAACCATATTGTTCTACCAATCAGGTTCTACCACTAGATAAGAGATATAGAGACCTTTCCCATGAAATCATTTTTGACCTTCGTGATCCCTTCAGGGCGTACACTTAGCACAGAAGTAGCAGCTTTAGTCCACATGTTTTTCCAAGCAGCATATTAACAATTCGATCATAACGAATAATACTAGACCCACAAATATGTATTGAACCAGAGACCCTCCCCATGTTCCTAGCACAAACTGTAGCCACACACCAATGCCCCAATTATTTTGACACATGTTGTGCCAAGTCATTAATATGCTCAGAATTGTCTGGAAAACAAGTACTGCTTAGTCTTCGCTCACCTTAACAGCTGTCTATCACCCTAATAGAGGATGGCCAAGAACTGTGATTATAGCAGGGA